ACAAACCACGACGAACGCCTGTATGTAGGCACACCCATTTGGGTGAAGTTGGCGCGGAGCCACATTTAAAGCATGAAGAATGCCCATTTGGTATTTTGAAAAGGGTATTCGAAAGCACAGATCACGAAACAAGGTGATGTAAACATAGAAAAAATCCATGTCGTGCCCTTCTCATCTATGACACGCGTGTTCGTTCATTCGACAAATGACTAACGCTATGTTGTCAGCATCCCTGGTGCTGGCCAATATACTCACTCTGCTAACTGGGTACTCTAAAGAGGAACTAGTAATATAGAAAGGCGAGTACAATCCTACCTCATGGGGAGCCCAATCATACTCAACCTCAACCTCTATCTCTTCTTCTTCCACCTACATTCCCTAGCGACATCAACCTCAACCTCTATCTCTACTTCTTCCTCCTCCATGACTTCCCTCAGCGCTTCTGGATGATTGCCCTCTCCAATATAACCTAAAATTAAGGACCCAATAGATGAAGATGACTCTGCCACATCATCAGCATACCTCTGCCTTCACCGGCGGGCTCATCGGCTGACACGTGGATGAAGACATAGTTACCTGCAAGGAAAAAGTTTCTACAAACGATGGAAGAAGTAGGAAGACAGGTGTGACAATGATAATAGTCTCCTCTCATATTTATAGCCTGAAAAAGCGGTTTCAGAAATGAATCTCACCCCTTTATTACAATCAAATTGGACGATTGAGGAGGCTCAACTCTTCAACTTCAACTGTCACATATCCCACAATTCCACGAGTCCCTTGATCCGCGGTCACTTTACATATAGTCTCATTTGACAACAATCCCTTCTCACCATTTTCAAATCGATCAACCTATATAAAACCCCTTCGCAATTATATTTAGTTGCTTGGGTCTTGGGGGACTTATGTACTATACAATGTGTACCGGTCGTCCTTCGTGAAAGCTATCCATTATTCAATGCATGCAGTCGATTAATTAATGTTTGAAACAACTGATCGGTTGAGAAACAATGACATCAGCAGGTAAGCTGGAAAACATTAATGACTAATTATTAGGTTTAACGGTCATATTAAATGTGAATATACAATATTAATGGGTGATTGACATGTTATATTGTTTAAGAATATATTGTGTTAATGGGTAATTAATGGGCTTGATGTATAAGTACGAGATTAATGACCAGGTAAAGTCACTTTTTTTCAGAATTACATTTAGACCTTCTTGATAGACATATCTGACTTGAGTGTCAGAGTGTTTCCTGCAGGTCAACCACACTCAGGAGAAAGCCTTTGAAAGATTGGACGATCAGAGAATTATAGCGAGGTGTTCGAGTGATCTAGAGTGTAACTGGGAAGACGATCGACTTCAGACCCCTTCAACCGAAACAGAGTGAAAATAACAATATAATATATATAATATAATATATATAAGGTTTAATCATTCACGAAGTCCCTATTTTCGCGTGGAATCTCAATTTAGTCCCTTAGTTTCTGGAAATCTCAATTGGGTCCCAAATTTATGAAAATTGCAACAATTGGATCCTTTCCGTTAAATTGTGTCCAACGGCGTTAGTGTGTGTCTGACGTGGCACGCTGTAGTCAGTTTCTTAACTGACGTGGCTGACTGAAGCAGGGGCAGTGAAGCACGTGGATAATAACAAGTTTTTAAGTCCTCCCCACATAGTGCGACCTTATCAACCCCTGTTGAAAGGGAACCCCAGCTTTTGCAGCATAGCCAAGCGCAGCCACCACCCCAGAATCGGGAACCGCAATCACAACGTCGCACTCAACGGGGCTCTCAGTGGCCAATATTTCCCCGAATTTCCTCCTAGACTCATACACAGACCTCCCGAAGACAACAGAGTTGGGAAGTGCGAAGTATATGTGCTTGAATATGCAATGCTTTGGCTCCTGATGAGTCACGAGGCAGAGGGATTGGATTCCCGTGTGGTCCACCACCACAACCTCACCCGGGTTCACCTCTCTCTCATACGTCGCATCGATCAAATCCAACACGCATGTCTCCGAGGCGAAAACCACAGCGCCATTCTTTCTCCTTCCCATCACCAAAGGTCGGAATCTGAAGGGGTCCTTCACAGCCACCAGCTTGTCCTCCGTGAGGAGCACCAGGGAGTACGCCCCCTTCAGATTCTCGCAGGCATCCACGACTCTAAGGAGGAAAGGTCTGTGCTTGGAGGCGGCAATCAGGTGGAGCACGACCTCGGTGTCGAAGGTCGTATTGAAGATGGACCTGTTGTCTTCCAGTTTGGCGCTTAGGGAGCGGTAGTTCACGAAGTTTCCATTGTGCGCGACTGCGACGGAGCCGAAACGGTAGCCGGCGACGAAGGGTTGGACGTTCACGAGCTTAGAGTGGCCAGCGGTGGAGTAGCGGACGTGGCCAATGGCGCAGGAGCCAGGGAACTCAGATAACTTCGATTAAACCCTAAATAACCAAATTGATACCCCAATTTGGGAAATGGAATGAATTTTGGACGAACCGAACCCTAGAAGTACTCAGAACAATCCCAATCCCTAATTCGATCAATTCAAAATCTGAATCCCTTTTTTGGTTTAAAACATTTATTTTCTTTTTACTTAAAAAATTGTTATTATCCACGTGCTTCACTGCCCCTGCTTCAGTCAGCCACGTCAGTTAAGAAACTGACTACAGCGTGCCGCGTCAGACACACACTAACGCGTTGGACACAATTTAACGGAAAGGATTCAATTGTTGCAATTTTCATAAATTTGGGACCCAATTGAGAATTCCAGAAACTAAAGGACTAAATTGAGATTCCACGCGAAAATAGGGACTTCGTGAATGATTAAACCTATATATAATTAACGTAAAGTATAAGTGAAAATTAATAAATTGAAAAACTTTAGGAGAAAAAAAATACGACATTGTGTGTAAAAACTTTAAAACACTTAGAAATAGATTGGGAAAGTAAATATTTTTTTTCTAAAAAAGCTATCATAAAATATATACTTCATAAATATTTCTTGCATCGAAATTATCATAGAATATATAATAACCCTCCAATATTTTTTTCACACCAACTAAATTATTTCTTGCAGGTTCCATAAAACTTGCTACCTAGCATACTTTATGTGCAATGTCAGGCTAAATATGAATTAAGTACTTTATACAATGAATATGTTGATAAAACAATATATAATTATAGTTTATTTAATTAACTTATAAATTTGCTTAATACAAACGTATTTAATAAGTTTTTTCAACTTAGTTTATTGTAAAAGTTCAAAGGTTTTAATTATAACTTTCACTGATTTCTAATTCGTAATTTATTTCATTTTTATATATTATTTTTTATATTTTTATATTTTATTGTTTTTGCTTTTATTTACTATTGGATAATTTGATTTTATAGAGATAATTAGTTATTATACTATTTTTAGAATTTTTTTATTTATCTTAACTTTTTTATACAATTCAAATTAAAACAAATTTAATAAATATTATAAATTAAAGTAACTAATATTTTATTAAATAATTATATTTAAAACACACACTATGAAAATTCTAAAAAAATCATTTTATTCTAGCCTGTGAACTCAACTCTTCTTCTGAAACGTACTGATGTTTTAACTTTATTCTTAAAAACTTCTTCACCCAAAAACATAACTTCTAGATTGCCAATATCTCCACCCATCTCGCAAAACTTAAATCCTGGTCTTTTAATTCCTTATCTTCGAGGCAAGCAATTGTCTCAAAGGCTTAAACCAATTCTAATGAAGGTATATAGGTCAAGTTGTCCTTGAATTTGCATTCCTATACTACTATAGAGCACAATAAACTACCACAAAGACAATAACACGACATAAATTTCTATAGGAAACAACGTTGGAACCCCAACCCTTTCTTACCCTAAACCTTTAGAATTAAGAAAGGAAAATCATCTATGGTAAAAGTCATGACTATGCACCCTCATTACTTCTATTAAGATCTTTTCTGTCCTCAAAACTTCTAGTTAGATACACAATTTTACCATCTAGACTTGGAGAAAATGGTAGAACATACCATTTAGACTCAGCTTCCAAAGGAAAGACATGACAAACCCACCACTCACAGGCCATCCTAAGGACGAACGATTCTGATACCATTAATGTAACATCCCAATTTAGTAATATAAAATTTACTAAAATGAAAAATTACATTGATATGGAAAGAACATAACTAAAATTTTATGAAGAACTAAATTCTTCACCTGAAGACCGAAATACTCGTATACCGCTACTATACCAACAACCTTCAGATGAGCCAACTGAAAAAGTTGCATCCCTAAGCTCACACCATTCAGGTGATCATTGCAAAAGAGAAACAAACACACAAAGACAGGACACAAAAAAGCAAGGGTAAGCTAGTGTAATTTAATATTCACGTGGAAGTACAATTCAACAATCAACTAAGATACTCTCATACATGTATAAAACATATAAACATATATTGACCGACCACTTTGACTTGACTATCCAGACTAGTATGAATATGTAGCTTTTGACCGTTCGTGCACTCGTGGGTGTAGTAACTGAAAACCCATCAGCTGCAACACGAGGTTAACCCGTTATCACTCACCGTAGGACCCCCCTCCCTCATCTAGGACCTCCTGCTATTCTCACGACATGAATTACCCATCTCTACTTGAGATTTGGTAATCATTAGAATGTCAGGATGAACGCCGTGGATTTCGCTGTCCATATTCATACTTTACCACCACCTTGATAACCAATCACTGAGACATTCCTCCTTGGAATTCTCTTTCATACCAGTTGGAACATCATACCATACTTTCAATTTGACACCATTATGATAAAGCATACATTCAGCCATCAAAGTAATTGGAACAATTAATTAACATAACACATTGGAATAAATATAAATATAAGCCGCACAAAAATAACCAAACACATATGAACAAGACCTAACACCCTGTGAATGTTGGAGACCGATCGTAGTTAAGACTGAATACAAGTACGAGACCGAGCGTTAGTACTAGATCGAACACTAATATCAAACTGATCGCTACTAAGAGACCACATAACCCACTAAGATTGATCGCTAGATTCAATCGAATAGTAGTACAAGACCAATCGGTCATTAACTGAAGCCCCACGGAAGCAAAAATCAGTTAAGACCGAACACAATACAAAACTTAGCACTACTAAGAACGGGGGCTAGTACAAGACCGAGCACTACCCAGAACGGGCGCTAGTACAAGACCGAGCACTACCCATAACGAGCGCTAGTGCAAGACCGAGTACTACCTCCTAAGACTGAACGGTCATGAATGGGTAAGACTAAAGAGACCGAACCCAATTCATGACTAAATTCCTTAACATGATCGAGCGATCATCAGTGAACGCTTAATTTTCTGCATAATTTTGTAGAACTTCTGCAAAATTATGAACAAGCTAGATTTTACCAAAACTAAACAATTTCCCTAACTTCTAATCCTCCAAACATGAATCATATACACCTTTACACCTATCCAAGGTTACCTAAAATCGTTCTAACACCATCCCAAAGAGTCCCATACCAGATTCCCCTCCTCAAGGATTGCATTCATCTCAACCATGTATTTCATATAACAGTATGTGCAAAGACGAATATACAATACAATACGAATAACAAGCCATAAATAGAGTTCATAAATAATATCAAAATAGTTGATGCCAAGTAACGTATCACTTACCTTGTATTTTGAGTGATGAAACCATTCTTGTAAAAACCAATGAAACACCAACGAACGAAAAAAAAACTTATTCAACTTTAATGTAAAACCCCCAAACAAGGACTAATGAACAAAAACAAGCAGAACAACATACAAAACTAGGTTTTCCACCCTCAAATATCAACATAAGAATCTATCTTTGCCACCCACAAATCATGTATGGGAAGGAAGCCTAACAAACTCCCCAAAGACAACAAACACTCTTCTGAATGATCGTGAACCTCTAAATGACAAGGAAACAAAGAGCAAGAACAAATCAAAACACATGACAAAAGGGATAATGCTAGAATACTGGGTCTCAGAAATGGCCAACAAGCACCAAAAGGAAGCAACAAACATACAATTCACAACTCAAAAGGATTTGCGAAAGGAAAACAAAAAATAGATACTTTGAAACCAGCATGTCATAGCTTTCTTTTGTAAATTTTTGTTCGTCATCATGAAAAAAATTCAAAAAAATATAAAACTTGACCAATCACATGTGGCCGTGTCAAAATATTGTCAAAATTTTGTGACATTGTTTTCCTAAAAAACTCCAATTGCCAATTAACTCTAACACAATGCAGTTCACAAAATCGTAAACTATGATTTTCTAGCAGTAAAATGGTTTCTAACCCAAGACAAACTAGGAGCAGCACATATTCATGATGTAATTTCAAAAGTTCATGTAACCAAAAAACAAATATTCTATCCATTTACCTAGCTGAATGGTGCAAATGCTCTCAAGTGATTGAAACTAATTTCCAAATGCTTCAATTTGGTACAATTCAAGCGCCCAAACAGCAAGATGACAAGGGAGTGTGATCCCTAATAGTATGAGGCAACATTGTAATGATTTTGAGTGAGGTGAGGAGGCGTAGGATCTGTCAGAGCTGCTCTAGGGCATAGTGGTCGCCTCGTTCTGACACGTACGTTCGCAAGTAGTCCACCAGAGCACCAACAAGGAGGCTCTCAACCTCGTTAGCGCCTTTAACCTCGGTTGCACATAGGTGGAGGTTAGAGGACCCGCTTGCTCCTCCATGAACTCCACCAACTTCAGCAGGTACCGATCGCCGAACACAATCATCATTCTCCACTGATCAGTTTGCCTTTCATGAATTTCTTGCCTCCGATCACTGTAATGGTCATTCTACAATACAAACATGATTAACGGATTGAAGAATCCAAAATACACTTCGAAATCCCATATAGATTTTCAGATCATAGATATCGAAAAAAGAAACATGTTCACAACATTAAGTAATCTGAACGGGCCACCAAGCCTACTCACCACGTCTTGACCACTTAGTGAACAGATCCAACTCCATTCATTTATTAGTGGATTGAAAAAAATTCAAACTTGACCCGACCCATCACGGGTTTGTGGATTGACTCATTGACTTACATAATTATAAGTTTTTTTAAGTCCAAAAAAAATTACAATATTTCTGTAATTCATATTTAAATAAATTTCACTCACGTTAAACTCTAAATATAATTCAAAATAAAAAAAGTAACATATAATTCAAATGTAATCCAAAAACAAACTCAAAAAACGAAAAACATAAGTTTATAATATTAATAATTTTTGTGTCACTTATCCATTTATAAGATTAAAGTCTTATGAGTAAATTTATAATATTTTACTTTCTTAAAACATCTTTTTTTTATTCTCATGTACAATACAATAAAAAAATGTTAACAAATAATATTGAAATACAAAATAATAAATATATAAATTAAACTAGGTGCGTTCGTAGTGAGCCAGGTTCTAAGTGAGTCGGGTTGAAGATTGATCCGTATTTAAAAATTTTATTTTTCAAATCCAATCTCGAACCCGTAGTAGGCCATGCTGATCCATAGATTTTAACCCATTTTGACAACAGTATCTGAAATGTATTTTCAGATCTAAAAATATAGATTTAAACCCTTGGTTGGTCCTCACTTTTTTATGGTAATCTCAATTGGGTGCTCATTTTTGCAACTGTCTCAATTGGGTCATATTTTTTGTAAAAATGAGCCAATTTTACCATAATTGTTAAGTGTTCCCAGACAGTGTTAAATTTAGCTTACGTGTTGCACAAAGGATGTGCTGATGTGTGTTATTTGATTATGTGAATTCTTTTACAATCTCAATTCCACCTAACATTTAAAGAGGTGTGAGAAATTTCTAACTGGAACCATATTTTCTTCTCTCTCCTCCTTCGCGTCCTCCTTCCCCTATCCCTGCTCCACCGGCGCCACCACTAACAACCATCACCGTTCAACGAAATACCAAATATTCAAAACTTTTCCCCTCTTGCCGACAACGTCAACTTCATGTGGCCCCATTGTTCTCCAAACCCCATCTTTCAGTACACGCGACGCTGTTTCAATGGTGCTTGCAGAATTTGAAGCTGACTTGGACCCTGCTTTGGACAACGCACCTAAAGACGCATCAGAGTCACGTTGTTTGGTGCCCACCTTGGAATCCTTGGATTCTCATGCATCAGAGTTTTTATCTTGAGATAACAGTGGCGTGGTTGATCGGTGGAATTTTCGCGATCCAGTTTTGTATTTTGTGCCCAACCATTTCCCTCTTTGCTACTGCAATCATTATCTGTAATTTCCCCTAGAAGCATTTTCCCCTCTTCAAACGCCCTTCTACAATTTCCTTTAGAAGAAATGAAATTTCAGAGAATAAGAAATCTATTAGTGGCGTAAGCTTAATATTGATTGTTAAGTAAATTACATCTTAGACTACCATTATTGCTTTGAGATCGTTACTGGTGAAAATCAAGCACTGTAATCAAATTTGACCAGTTGAAGTACTCCTTTACATTGAAAATCAAGCATTGTAATAAAATTCACAAACGTCAAATCACACTCACACTTACTACACCCCTCTCTTTGCAAGCCATTAGAATTTCAATCACTCCCTCTTTCAACATCGCTTCCACCACTACCCTTCTCCTTATATATTCCAATTCCAAAACGCACTCCAACGTTGCAATGCGAAGCCCTAATTCTCTCAAACGCAGAAACCCTATGATTTTAGGGATCTTACCTTTGCACAAAATCTCATCAACCAGGGGGATTCAAATGAAATTAATCAGCGAACGTCGGCTCCTGTAGCTAGCGCGTAGACGAGATCGTGAACGGCGACGCGGTCAATATATTTTTGGATTTCGGATTGGATGGCGCTGGCGAGGTAAGTTATCTTGCATTTGGTAAGTGTTGGAGGAGGGATCGTGGGAAGTAGCCACAATATTTGTGGAGTTTATCGATTAGGGATGGGAGGGAGGAGAGGATGCGAAAGATGTTGCGGAGGTTAGGGTCGGAGGAGAAGACGACGTGGTACTTGGCTTCGAGGTCGAGGAGGGTGTCAATGGCAATGCTGGAATCTGTTGGGAAGAGGAAGGTGAAAAGATTGGTGTTCGTGTGAAGGGCTTTGGAAGCTTCTTTGACAGCTTCAATTTTGTCATATCATAATTCTTTAATTTAAATAAAATTTTTATGTAATCAAACAATACATGTCAGCATAAACACGTCAGCTATATTTAACGCCGTTTGAGAGCACTTAACAATTAGGGTAAAATTGGTTCATTTTTACAAAAAATATAACCTAATTGAGACCGTTACAAAAATGAGGACCCAACTGAAATTACCATACAAAAATGAAGACCAACCAAGGGTTTAAACCAAAAATATATTTTGAATTTTACATAATATATTTTTATTTTTCGGGAAATACGTAATGTAGAATATGTTTCTCAATTTGATAGTACATTCTGAATTGGTTGTTTTGGAATGATTTCTAATGGACTATTCACTTTAGAATATCTTCTCGCATCCAGTAATACCTTTCAGATCACTAATATGGAACCTACTCAAAATCCTTAGTTAACCTCCAGTAATCCAGTAAAACGAAAACAACAACTCTATTCAATCCATGAAGAACCTGGTGCAAATGTTCCAAAATTTATGAAGCTTCAAGAATAGAACGCAGTGAAAAAAAGAATCAACAAAGACTGAGAACGAATAAAGATGAACAAAGGGTCTGGTTACAGGCGTAGAAGAAAGAAGGTGAAGGAAAGAGTCTCCTATTTTATTATAAATTCTGAAAGATAAAGCGGACATTTGCTAATGTAGGGGTGCAGGAAGAAAAAATTGGCAGTAGAAAAAAATGCCCAAAAACCAAATTGATTATTTATCCAATGTTTTTATCTTAAAAAAATTAACACAATAAAAAGATACACAATCATATATATATATATATATATATATATATATAAGGTAGTATTTACTTATGAAGATGAATTTGAGAGGGTGAGTAGATGAATTTGAGGAAATTTGAGAGTGAAATGTGTGTTATTTTTATAAAAGAATTTGAAGGTGATAGAAAATAGATTTGAAAATAAATTTTTTGAAAATTTGTGAAATGATTTGATTCATACAATGGATTAAAAAATGTTTTAATAAGTAGAAAGTAAAAATCATCAAATTGTATAATAATAATATAAAATGATATATTTATGAGTAACATATTTTTTTATAAAAATTATTTGAAATATAGATTATTATTATTATAATAAATAAAAATTCTTAATATGTTTGTTGTAAAAAATGTTAAGTAATTTTGTGGATATTATTTTTTTGACATATTTAATAAATACCAATTTAATAATAAATTGAAAAACCTGTTTGATTATTAGTGAACAATAATGATTTTTATTTTGATTAATTTAAATAATAGTATAAGAAGTAATAAAAAAAATAATGATCCATTGAAATTGTTAACCGTGATAACATGTGAAGCAATAAAGTCCAAATTTACATACTTATTAAACTGAGAAAGATATCCAAAAAAGAAAAAAACATAATTCGAGTCAGTGATATTTTAGTAACCACCATTTGGCATCCCAAATCCGCTCACTATAGGTGAGATGTAAGGAGCGGATTATTTCGCAAATCCATGATCTACATCGTTCACAAATCAATCACTCGATGCCAACATCAGTCATCCACGCAAATATGAGCCTTTGAACAGTCAATTCGTATAAGTCAACACAATCTAAATGTCTTGAAATATTGTGACTAAAAAGATTAAAAAGAACCTTAAACTGCTAGTATATATGTGGTGGAGCCTTTTCAAAATTCCTTCGTCCTCCTTCTTTATATTTTTCATGTTATTTAGAGAAAAATTAATAGTGAGATTTTTCCTGAGGATATCTAAGATTTTGTATTTTTCTATTGGCTTAATTACCTACTTAGTCCCCATGTTAGGAGGTAATTTTCTGTTTAGTACCCGGTTTTAAAAATGTAGGCATTTGGTACCTATGTTTTGAAATTTGTATCAATTCAATCCTATCCAGTTAACGACGTTATAATTGATGCAAGAAAGGACGTTAATGATAGCCTTGCATCAATTATAACGTCGTTAACTGGATAGGATTGAATTGATACAAATTTCAAAACATAGGTACCAAATGCCTACATTTTTAAAACCGGGTACTAAACAGAAAATTACCTCCTAACATGGGGACTAAGTAGGTAATTAAGCCTTTTCTATTTTACAAAGAAATGTTTGTTTTGACTTAGTGAAGTTTTGTTTTCCTCTATTGTATTTCTTCATCAATCCCTTCTTCTATTTTCCTTTTCTCCTATCTTAATGACAACTTATAGTTTTGTTGTCGAATACATCATTGGTCTAACTCAAATTTTGTCTTTAGAAATAAAAACTTCCATTTTGGATATACGCGTACACAAAAATTCCCACCATCATTATGATTGACGAGGACAACTTGTTTGACGAAATTACGAGGAAACTTTTGATATATAATATAATATAGCATGTAGAAGTACCGGTATCTTGAGCAAGCTATCCAGGATTGAGATCCCTCAAGATATGGAACCAAACATCATGAAAACATGACAACCTCACCAGAATTCACCAAAACAGAAAAAAAGTTATAAACCACCCAAAATCATTGCAATTGTTAGTTAGAATCTTCTATTATTTTGACAGTTCGATATCTTGTTTGATAACCGTTCGGTTTATTCTAGTCGTTTGTGATCGAATGTTCTCTTGTGTTCGGTCATGAATGTTCGGTCTTGTATGCTCATTTCTTTGTTCTGTTTTTGTTCGAACGTTCTTATGCGGTTGAGCAATCGGTGTCGGTCGTTTTGTGTTTTTTTTTTGTTGCTGATACCTGTGTTGACTATATATTGTAGCCAACATTTGCTTTTTGAGACAATTGAATCACAAAATATTCAGATCATTTCTCTCTGGGTTTTCTCTTCTCTCTTTTCTCGGTTTTCTATTTCTCTGTTTCACACTCGAATCCAACAATTGGCACCCACCGTGGGGCAATGAATCAAGAAACTCAAAGAAGCGATGGCAACCAAGTTCGACATTGAGAAGTTCAATGGTTCTAATTATTTCGGGCTGTGGAAGATCAAGATGGAGGCTATCTTGATACAGTAGGAATGCAATGAAGCGTTGAAGGGTGAGTTGAACATAAGTGTTGGAATGTCGCAAGAAGAGAAGAAAAGAATGGTTGATAAATCAAGAAGTGCAATCATACTGTGCCTGGGTGATAAGGCGCTGAGAGAGGTTAGGAAGGAGAAGACTGCCACTAGTACAAAAATAGCGTACAACGTCGAATATTTTGGGCTTTTCACTACGAATTCGAGAACGACGTCATATCGGGAGACGTTAAATTGACGTCGAATTTAAAAAATTTGACGTTAATTTAACGTCGAATTTTGTCATATACGATGTTAATCAATTTTTTTTATTTTTTTAATTAATTGTAATCATTTTTTACAACTCTACGAAACCTGAAAAGCAGAACTATGAACGGTAATATAGGATCAACAACAAATAACAATAACAAACAACAAACAAGTTCAATCAAACAAGTTCAACCAAACAACAACAAACAAGTTCAACCAAACAACAACAAACAAGTTCAACAAAAAAAATAAAAAACAAGTTCAACAAATAAGTTCTTAAAAACGAAAACGAAAACTAACCTTTAAAAGGTGGGTTCATCGGAATAAAGTGTTGCCACTAGTAAGAGAGAAAGCAAAATGCACCTATGAAAGACCAGAACACGAAAATAATCGGTGAAAACAAACGAAAATCATACCTAAAGTAGTTAATTAACATGCATTTGTATCAAATGAAAGAAAGATTATGATGATCGTCAAATTTCGTTCGAGAAAAGTTTGAGTAGAGAAGAGGATCTCGCGCGCTAAGATAAAGTAAATGAATTTTGAATCTCCCGCTCAATTTTTTATTGAATTCACTAGCCTTTTGACGTCTAACGCTGAGGCATTCGACGTTT